TCTTCAAATCTGTATGTAATCGGGACAGACAGATAGCCGCTCCAAGCACAACGATTACCCCAGTCGCACATGACCAGCCTCCTTCGATATCTGGAGTATCAAATCATGCCGGTTTATCCAGAAGCAGGGCTAGGGAAACGAATGCAGAACGGGAGACGATTGCCGTCACGGTAGGTGTCACAGTCTCGACTGCCACCATGCAGCCAATGCAGGAGCCGTCAAAGAGTTTGAAAAGCACTTCAGGATGCTGACAGGAGCCCAACGTCCCGCGCGCACTCGCATCTTGGCCTCAGGAATGAAAGGGTGCCTCCTGCAAGCGTTCGAGCGACGTTCATCGAGCTGGGGAAGTGTCGCACCTTCTGCGGGATCACCGCTGAAACCGTTCGCTTGAGCTCTGACACAGCTCACTCTGCGAACTTCATGGGTTTCGAAACGGTTGTCACTGCGAAAGATCCTCCGCAGTGAGTCCGCACGGCCTGTCACTCACCTGTCTAAACGAAACATGCCGACCGACTTCCTGGTGGCGGCTGCAACGTCGTCCCGCAATGCACCACGAGTATGCTCGCTAGCTAGACGGGTGTGTCACCAGCTTACGGTGGATGCGAAAAAGAAAGAAGACTAATGTCGCTACTTCCACAGCCTTGCAGCAGGCTAATAAGCCAACATTACCCCTCTTTTATTGCCAATGAGGCCATGGCATTGCTCCGTCAGACGATTAGAGCGCATTTTGCGGCTCGAGGGTAACCTGGTTCTGGGCTCCAGGGTTAACGGCTTTGCTGCACACCTCCCACACCCGTGGAAGTTTTGCGGTGTGCGCGTGCCAGTATCGAAGACGAAGGGCAAGCTTCTAGGCTTGGGGACGCAGCCCCTCACTTACACCAACATCGCGATCTAGGCGTAAGGAAGCAAGTCCTGTTTATTTTGGATAGGACGGATGCTCGAGCTCGCACACAACGAGCTTCAGATTCGGCAGATGCGCCTAACCGAAGCTGTGCGTAGCATCGGTGACTTTGCGGAAGCACATGCAATGAGACGAGCACGAGACCCACGCCGCATCTCCTTCCGAAGGCTACGTGAGGACGCCTTTCCAGAACCCACGGTTGCCGTATCTTCCGTTAATCTCTGTTGAGTACCCAGTTAATTAGCCAACATTTGGGCTTGAAGCGGGGCGTTCGATAGTGCGTGCATGCCGCTATCGGGTCATTTACTGACTTTGTTCAGCCAGATCAGGTCATTTATCAGCCGTGCGATGCGTGGCGTCTGCAGCGCACAGGCGGCGGGTGAAGGCCAGGGAGGCCTGGGCGTTGTGGCATCCAACCTCCCGTTCGAGCAAGTGCAAACCCAATCCCCAAAACTGTGGGCACTTCTGCCGACGTTTGGTGTTCGTCTGGAGGGCCTGATGCTGAAACTAAAGAATCCTTCGTTGGACGTTGGTTGACTGTGACGAGCCTGAGCCTGAGCCAACTGCGCCGCCTCCCTAAGGCAGAATCGACGTCTCGCTGTCAGACATCGCGATGAGCATGGAGGCGATGTCTGCAAAAACCAACGTTCACAAGACTTGGGAGCGCGAATGGAGGCTCAACACGAAGATAGAAGAGCGCCACCGGAATGCGGCTCACTAGAAGGCAGGTAATGCCCATCGTATCGCTCGCCCATCCCTGTCTTCTCATCGCAAGATTGCACGTATCAGCGCTTACAGCAGACACAAGCCTTTTAGCCAGATGCCGAGAGCGGCAAGGTGACATGCGGAAAGCGGATTACCCTGAGACGCTAAAGCCACCTCCAGGTATCACCAATTTGGCGTGCATATCGCTTCAAGGATAATAGTAGGAAATCTGGTCAGGATCATGGTCCGTGCCCATGTACCTACACATGGCGGCGCATGCGTGCCCTTGCCGGCGGGCCTGTCTAACGGCCAAGCGCGAAGGTTACAGACGAAAGTATAAGTCTGTCGAACCGCCTGGTCTAAGAGGTAGTGTAACAACGATACCAGCCTCGAGTTCTCAACGCTAGCAAAGACTAAGGGACGTCACTTCTATTTTGATATCATCGATCACTTCATCGCTCCTCTTGCATTCGGTCGCAGTACATCTTCATCGCTCCTCGGTCGCAGTATATATACCAGCCTCGCATATCGCATTACCAACAACACTTCCTCAACCTTGAGTATCGCATTACCAACGACACTTCCTCATCCTTGAGTATCATCATAACCAGTGATCATGCTCTTCTCTACCATCACTACGGCACTGCTCTTTGCCGCATCTGCCACTGCAGCTGCCCTACCAAGACCTGCCAAACCGCAATACGCTCCCGCCCGTAACCTCAACAAGCTCGCCAAACTCTTTCCCAAGAGCGCTCTTCAAGGCCCAGGCGACTTGGATCTCAAGTACGTTGTGCTCGGCATCGGCACACAGAACTACACTTGCGGCTCTGATGAGAGCGCGGCTCCTGGTACTACTGGCGCATTTGGTAAGAACCCACTCAACTTGACAGGAAAGGAGCTAACAACCACCAAGCCACCCTATACGATATCGGTACAAAGCTCAACGACGAAGCATATGCCAAGTGGAAGATTCCCTCTATCACCCCTCTCGCACTCTCACTGTACGAAGTGGCTCCTGGGCTAGTCGACATGAGCCTCCGACTCCAGGGCTACGAACATATCACCGGTCACCACTTCTTCGCCGACGTAGAAGGAGCGAACACTCCTACATTCGCCTTCGACAAACTGAGCACGCCATTCCCCATGACCCAAGTGGCCAAGATCAGCAACGTCAGTGCACCATCGTACGCATGCCCAGGCAAGAACGGTCTACCTGCCGTCGACTGGCTATACCTACAGCACAAGACTGGCATCACTAAGGGAGGAATCAACACCGTCTACCGTGTCGAGACTGCCGGTGGTAACAAGCCTGCGACCTGCAAAGGCATGCCAGCCACATGGGAAGTCAAGTACGCCGCGCAATGTAAGTGTACCCGAAACAACCACGCAGCCAGAATAGTCAACTAACATCTCACAGACTGGGTCTATGGTCCCAAGTAATAAGCGCCGAGCTTGCGACGCTCGTTTCGAGTCAGTTACGAACACTACCATCTTCTCATGCCTTCTACGATCTTTCCATAATTAGGTTAGTCGCGCGCGGCTATTTTCGTCCCGCTAGATCTACGGCAGGGCTTGGATTTTCTTTTCTTGTAACCTTTCATTTCATCTCTTACATCTACGATACCCTTTGGTTTTCATGGTTCACACGACTGTGTGGGACTTCGTTGTTACTGCGGGGCATCGGCATGGCTATGGGCGTTTACGGTTTTTTGCATATGGTGGCTATAGTGCACAAGGATTGGATGTGTCCTTTCGTAAATTCTAAAAGCTTCTTGCTTGCATTGCGATTCTGAATACTAGAATAGTGGTTCTTCTCTTGATGATATGCTTCACTGTACGATACATCACTTATGCGACATCAATGACAGTATTGCGAAGGGTCTGTATCGCTCGCATCTCACCATCTCTCCTTGGAAAGTGCCATGACTGCGCCCAGCGAAAGCTGGCAGTAGCAAAGTGAAGACCAACTCAAGAGACATCGCCCTCCCATCGTCACACAGCCGACACGGCAGATTCATAGCCGCACTCCACCAACACGGTCTGCTGACATCGACCAAGTGCCGCGCTACATACCAGACCCACTGACCACGTTGCGGCACAACTCGCAGCATGCGGCACAGTAAGGCGCGCAAGGCTGCTTGCGCTACGATCTCCACTCCATCTGATGTGCAATGCTGCCAACCTCTCGTTTACCTACAACACTACTGATACCCACAACCAACTTCTCCCCAAGCACCCCATTGTCTCTCATGCGCCTCCTTCGTACCAGAACCAAGAAAGCCTTACCCCAATAGATGACGTGAACCACTCGCCCAGCCCTACAGCCCCTTCCGTCAGCCATTATTACGAGAACTACGTTCAAGTATGTGATTGGATGCATACTATACGACACAGTGGTTCGTACTACTTTGGTGGCTGTGGCAGCGGGTATTTGGCTTGGCAAAGCGGGTGTGGATGGTGTGGCACAAATCTGGTTTGACGGCGGCTACCTAAGGTCGTCCGGAGTTTTACCACTTGAGCGCAGGACGCACATGTAGGTTTAGCGTAGACACTATTGGTATCTTGGTACTGGGAAAAAGAAGTCGAAGAAAGTGGGTACGGGAGTTTGGCTTCCGTGCCAATGATGTGGCGTACCTGCATCTGGTACGATGCCAATGTATTTTTTTTTTGTTTAGATCTTCATGATGTGGCTCAGGTTCATTGCACCAATGCTCACCTCTGGTCTGCCTGCTCTGTGTGTTGGACAGTCACTTCCCTTGTGCGCATGATGCCCTTCAGATCCTCTTTGTCGTCGAGGATGTTGTCCTCGCTTCCCACTCGCTCCTCAGTGACGCTGTAGACAGCATTTCTTCTGCTTCGCCTGAAGGTGTGAACTCGTGAAGCAAATTGCCTCGTACGCTGGTTCCGGTTGGTCCTTCCAAGTTCTCGTTCCTTTTCAGGGTGCCATTCGTTGTCAAAAACATCCCTCCACGCTTGGAGGGTTTTGCTGCACTACCAATCGTCTGGTCACGTTTGATGCTTGAAGGGCTGTGCAAGATTCAGTTGATCATGACATGTCGAAAATCTTGGAAAGACTGATGAAACTGATCTGTCGTGTGTGATGGGCCGAACTGATGGTGGAATTTGGGTATTTGATCGATTTCGAACCAGCGAAGACTTCCGCCACATCCGTAGCCATCCAGTCAAAAGTTATACATCGACCGTCAGTCATAGTGCTGTCAATTCAAACTGCGTTGTTGCTTTCATTTATTGTAGAAGACATATGAGACAGTATGTACAAACACTAATTTCCAGTATATAGTACAATCGTTTTTGTCGTGGTTGTCAGGGCAGGCATAACTCTCCGGTCAGTGGCCTGGAAGCCCCTCAGCCTGCGCGCACCCGATCCAAGGGCTCAGACCCTGGAATTGGTCCCCTCATTGTTGATAGTCACCTCTGTTGTGCATTTGATCTGCTTCGAATCGTGTGGATGTCCTCCAAGAATGTAGTCCTCACTTCCTGCGCGCTCCTCGCTGACAGCATAGATCTCATTCTTCCCGCCTTGTGCCGATCCTGCATTCGCCCTCCACATCTCATATGCCTCGGTATCAGCGTTTTTGTCCGTTCGTGTACCGCTCAGCGTGGTCAAGATCGATTTGCGAGGTCTGGAAGGTGGTGCGCTGCCAATGGTCCTGGCTTTGTCGCCGTCATGGAATTGATTGTACTGGTTGCTGTTCGTGGACTTGCTGATCTTTCGCAAAAGTGGCTTTAGCGTGGGTATTGAGGCGGCGATAATTCCAACATTGAGCTGAACACTGAAAGAAGAAGTCGTTAGCACTAGCTACATGCAAGCGTAGTTCATCGGGAAAAGTATACTTACAAGCCCCAGAATCGTACATTGTTGTTGCTGTGTGTTGTGTGAGTCAAACAGCCAGTCAAACTTGAAGAATCGGGGTATCACGCACAAATGCGAGTCGTTGTCTTTGACGATGGTGAGTTGATATACCGTTTTGACAATACCCATGACCACCGCACTAAAAGACAGTGAGCAATGGAATGCGGACAATGAGTATATGATAAGCTTACACATAGCCTAAGCTGAGTACAGCTATCAAGCTGATTCTCGTCCGTGAAGACATCTGGAGATTCCATACGATAGGTATGGGCAATGTGGCGAAGCAAACATCAGTGAAGATGTTGAAGGCTACCAATGTATCAGCCAATGGATCTCGCACCGTCGCAATTGCAGTCTTACCTGAGTTTGCTATTCCAAAGTGCATGACATACTTCAACGGATAGCAAGTGTGTGCGTACTTAGGATCCCAGAAGCCAGAGAAATGCTTGCAGCGTACGAAGAAGGTAAGCCAGGCAAGAACGGTATAAAAGATGACAAAGCCTAACAGCATCTTGTCAGACCTATACACCATGGAAGCGCCATACAGCAGCCAAGAAACTCACCAATCAATGCCCAGAGTGTGCGTGAGTACCATCTGTGATTGCTCAACCGGAGTAAGAAGAAAGCAATGGAGATTTTCAACAATCCGAGCGCGCCCATAGCAGAAATGATGCTCTGCCAAAAGGCGATGTGGTCCCAGATTCGTCTATCATCTGGCGAAAGGGTTGCGGTGTGTCGACCAAGACCGTAGGGCCCTTGCAAGAAGAAGCAGATCCAGCCAACCAAAGCTCCAAGCTATCGGAGTGAGCATTGCAGATCAGTGATTTTGAGCAGAGAATAGTTACTCACAGCAGCTAGGACGATCACATAGTCATCTCGTCCGGGCGATTTAAGCAGGCCTATGCGTGCATAAAGACGAAGACCGACGCTGATCAGGGCGAGGATATGGAATACACCAGTAAGGGCGAGGAAACGAGTAAGGTTGCTTTGTGCCGCCCATTGAGGATCTAAATCCGCCTGCGATGATGGTGCAGTCATGACTGCATAGAAAGAATATGAGAGGCCGTCAAAACATCCGACTGGAGAATGACGAGATGCGGCCTTGAGGGCAAGGCTGTGTTTAAAGCGGTTCAAGTAGGTATGCAACTTGACCACCAACCACAAGCTCAATTAAACTCCAGGTCTTCCCGCGTCGCCGCTCGTAGCGAGGTAGATCTAAGGTTGGCGTCTATAGGATAAAACGGCTTTCTATGGAACATCTAGGGGTGACTACGCCGCGGCTTCGCATGAAATCACCATATGACACCCAGGTGACTGGTTCCAGCTTCCTGAACCATGAGTTCGGGGAGCAGATGCCGTGTATTTGCGCCAATTCGCCTTCAGGATTTCGGAGCATACCCTCTTCACGCAGTTGGTTTCTAATCGAGAGCCCAGCAGTATGGGTCAGAAAACGAGTACTCCTTCGGCGATGGCCAACTTCCGTTCGCCACCTCGCGTGCGTTGTATGTACGTTTTGCGACGGAACAACCATGTCACATTGGTGATGTGATTGGCGGAGGCACACTCGCAGTAGCCTGATCCCAGTTGGAGTGTCCTCGGAACCGGCAACAGGTAGGTTAAATCTCCTACACCCTAGCGACGCCGCGATCCTTCACAGCCCATATGTGGTACCATATCCGAGAAGACATTATCAGAGGTCCTAGTACGATAGTAGAGCCTGGAGCTGTTGACATGTAAGGGGTTCGCGTGTTCCCGTAGAAGGATTCATGGAAGCCTCGAGTCGCCCTCATCGGGAGTTCTGCCGAAGAAGACGAATGCCACGGCTCCTCCGCATGTCGACTTTTGCGCTCCTTATCGATCATCCTAACATTGATATCTGAAGGCACCGGAGGCGGCAGAGCGAAACAGATGGTAGAGTGAGGCTTCGGAACCTCGGTAGAATGGCAATGTTGCTAGTGTGCCGTCCCACACGGGACGCGGCGTTCGAGGCGGTCGAGCCGCGACGCACGATCCAGCTGGCGCTCACGGCTGCGGCGTAGCTATCTCACCACCAGGGCACCTGCAGCATCTAGCTTCTGTGGGACGACCCAACATGTCGCCGCGATCCTTTTCGATAGAGTGGCCCGCTCGCATAGGATTCGGGAATTTCGGAATCTCAGCGTCAACACATGGAAAGATCATCCCCCAAACCCTTCATTCCCTATGTACACAGTAATCACAAACCTGCGTCGGTACATAAGATCTTCCGACCACGTGTACCACGTGTACCACGTGTGAGCAATCGATGTCGTGCTCGCAGCTCATGAAGCCCACGAGCATGTTACCCGTGCGTCGATCCTGCGAATACTCGCTTAGCGACGGTGGGCCTCTCTCATTCAGCAATGTCCTTCGCCTTGAGAATCACTTTCCCGCACGGCAAGTAAAGAGAATCCGAGAGGATCACTAGGTGGCTTCTACACCTCGAACAGGCTTACATGATCAAGACCAATCCAGCGAGCTCACAGGTACATGCCACTTCGAAGACCAAGGGATGGTGTATTGCAGATTGCATCTGCAAACCCTTCGTACCTCGCAGATCACACCCACCGGCTCATGCCACTCGGGAATACCACAATTGGCCTTTGCGCCGCACAGCACACCGGGTTTATGCTAACTAAGGCAACCAAAATCCTCAGCTACATCTAGAATGTCGCCCGTCAGCGACCATGACTAGCATTCCTCACCTCATCCGCAGGCTCCAGTCGAGATAGCCTGTGGTCGCCTCTTCGGCTGTAAGTGTCCGACCCCAGTCTCTGCATGCGTCTGTAGAGCTTTGAGGTGCTCCTCGGTGGCGCGATATCGGCAGTCGAACATATTAAAAGGCATATCCCCCACCACACATGAACTTTCCCATCGCTCAGCCAAGCAACGGAAGTCGTTCTCAATTATTCTTCTCGTTCACTTCACGTCACACTCAAGATGCGTCTATCCAGCCTTCCAACTGCCCTTCTGGCATTCGCCGGTGCTGCCCAATCTCTAGCAGTTGAAAAGAGGGATTTGCTTTCGGATCTTCAAAACCAGGCTCTTGAAAACCTCAAGGCTGCGGAGAAGAATGGTACTCTCGAGAAAAGAGGTAGCTGCTCTATTTTCAATGCGTCCGTTCGCAAGGATTGGTAAGAACCTCAAGCATCTCTTTGTCTAATAAGACTAACACACGCGCAAGGGCTATCATGAGTGCGAAAGAGCGAAAAGCATACATCAGTGCCGTACAGTGCATGTTCGATGCTCCATCTCAATCCGATCCCGCCTTAGCACCTGGTGCAAAGACCCGCTACGATGACTTTGTCGCACAACATATCAACCAAACGTTAACGATCCACGGAACCGGTAACTTCTTGAGTTGGCACAGGTACTTTGTACATGGCTACGAGAAGGCGCTGCGAGAAGAATGCGGATACAAAGGCTACCAGCCCTACTGGAACTGGTTCGCCCACACGGATGACCTGACCAAGCACCCTGTATTTGATGGTTCAGCGACAAGCATGGGCGGCGATGGAGAGTATGTGAAGCATAATGGAAGTGCAGGCGGCAAAGGCACGATTGCGCTGCCTTCTGGCGCAGGAGGTGGATGCATAAAGGATGGTCCGTTCAAGAAGTAAGTCCGGGATCTCAGCTCTATGGTATGCGACATTTCTAACAAATTCAGCTTGCAAATCAACCTTGGTCCTGTCTCTCCAGCAATGGCTGGTGAGGTACCCGTTAAGTCGCCACTCGAATGGAACCCACGTTGCGCAAAGAGAGATCTCACCTCCTACGCATCCTCCACATGGATGACTTTTGAGAACCTCTACAACGTCACTCTCGGTACAGCCTCCAAGAACGTTGGACGCTTCCAAGACGAGCTCCAGGGACGTTTCCCTGACGGCTTCCTCGGCATGCACGGCGCAGGCCACTTCGCAATTGGAGGCGATGGCGGTGATGTTTTCAGCAGCCCCAACGACCCTGCTTTCTTCCTACACCACGCAATGGTCGACCGCGTATGGTGGCTTTGGCAGGCGCTGCATCTCGACCAGGCCAAGTCCGTTGCTGGCACCATCACCATCTTCAACCAGCCACCCAGCCGTGACGCTAGGCTTGACGACCCTATTGAGATGAACTACCTCAATCTGGACCCTACAACTATCGAGGATATGATGAGCACGCTGGACGGAGAGCCGCTGTGCTACATTTACTTGTAGAGCGTCACTATTGTGGTGTATGTCTAATGAATAATTCTACCAATTCCAAAATACGCGAAATACCCTTATATTAGTGATGCTCGACGATCATGACTTGAATATACTGCGTGTATGAATGCTCAGAAATTAATAGAGCCGTGGACTGACTCGTACCTGTACCCACACTTCACAGCCCGCTGATTGGTCCGATCACCACAAGCCATCCCCATCCGCTATCGCCATCCTACTAACACCTCCAATAAAACAAAACAACCTATCACTCCCTCTCCAAATGCCCCCAAAACCATGCCCAAACAGCCCATCACCATAATAGGCGCAGGCATAGCCGGCCTAACCCTAAGCCGCACCCTTCTCCATCGCGGCATCCCCAGCATAGTCTTCGACAAAGCGCCTCCAAACCGCCGGGGCTTCAACTACGCCATCACCCTGCACTCCACCGCCTACAAACCCTTATTGGAAATCCTGAATCTCAGTGACACAGCATTCAAAGCCCGCGTCGCCATCGACGCCGAAGATGGCGGAGTAGGAAAACATGGCGAAAACATAGACATACCCAGCCACGGCGGTTTATATGACACCTCCACGTCTTTCCGCGCCAATCGCGCGATATTCGAAGATCTGCTAAGTCAAGACCTGGATATCCGGTTGGGCTATTCCCTCCAATCAGTCAAAAGCACGCCCACGGGACCGAGATTGCGCTTTGCCAATGGCGAGACGTGGGAGGGCGGAGAACTCGTCGTAGGCGCCGACGGTGTGCATTCCAGTTTACGCAAACTGCTGCTGCCGGAGAAGTCAAGAGTGGATGTTTTGCCTTATGCTGTGTACTACGGGAAGAGGTGTATCATGCGGAAGGACTTCAACAGTATCTTTGGGGGCAGGGCGGAGGGAAACCAAGGGAGGAACGTTTGGCAGACGAACAAAGGGGATGTAGTGCTTACTGTTAATGTGGATAAGAAGGAGGATAAGAAGGTGTGGGTTAGTTGGATCTACTCGCGGAAGGCGCGTGGGGAGACGGATCCGCTGTTTAATCCTGCTAGGTCAACGAATGCGGCTGAGAAGATACCTGTGGAGTTCTTCAAGGAAGTCCATGCTCAGAAGATCTTTGGTTATCCTTACGCGGCGATGGTCGATGTGCAGAGTATGCGCAGCGATAGGATACTGCACTGGCTGATGCGGATAACGTCTACGCCGTTGCCTGAATTGCATGACTTGCTCGCGAAGCGTGGCGTGTGTCTGTTGGGTGATGCAGCACATGCAGAGCCTATTTTGGGAGGTAATGGAGCAAACGCTTCAATCATCGACGGCTTGAGTCTTGCGGATGCCATTGCGAGCGATGAAGATGATGGTATATCGAATTGGTACAACGACCGCTATCCGAAGTGGGTGCAAGGGGCTGAAGAGAGTCAAGCAAACCTTGCGAGAATGCATGGGTCACTACGGCGAGGTGTGAACCTTTAAGCTGATCATATTTTGTAGCTAGAGAAATCTGGGCAGCCAAAGCCACCACGTACTCAATTCGCTACCAGAAGCATGCTGACACGCATTTTTTCACCGTTCGTTCATACCATAGTCGCCTGTGTCGAGATAGCTGAGACCGTTTACCAGCCACCACCACCAGTCGCGCCGCCACCATCACCCCAAGAAGCATCTCCACCAGCGGCAGCAGCAGTGTCGCCGCCAGAGGCATCGTTGCCCCAGCCACCACCGCCATCACCACCGTCCTCGGCAACCGGCTGCGGGCAGCGCTTGATGGTGTGGCCCATCTCTTGGCAGTTGTTGCACTTGACCTTGGACCAGTCCTTGGGCTCAGGGCAGTCGCGAGAGAAGTGACCGGTCTTCTCGCAGTTGCGGCAGAGGGCTTTGTCAGGGTTCTTGGGCTGATCACAGTCCTTGGCCATATGCTCGGTGGAGTCACAGTTTCGGCAGGCCCGGGCGGCAACGTTGGGACACTGTGGTCGTTAGCAAGGACTAGAGACGGGTTGTTAGACAAGTGTACTTACATCCTTGGAGAAGTGACCGGTCTCGTTGCACTTGCGGCACTCGACACCTTCAGCAGAACGAGGTTCGGGACACTCCTTGGAGTTGTGACCCTCCTGCTTGCAGTTCTTGCAGGCGTATGGGTTGATGCGCTCCTTGGGACAGTCGCGTGCGCGATGGCCGTTCTCCTTGCAGTAGACACACTGGATCTCGGGAGCGGTGTTCTCGCGCTCAGCCTGCTCTTGCTTGCAGTGCTTGCGTACGTGACCAAGCTCACCACAGTTGCCGCACATCGGGACACCACAATCCTGGACGTAGCCACATGATGCAAGACGCTCCATGTTCTCGGCGGGATCTTTGGGCCAGCCTGTAGCCATCTTGGCGCGACGGGGCTTGGCAGAGAACTGGATAGAGAGGACGAACTTGCGATCAGGGTTACCGATGAGGTCGATGATGGTCATGTTGGGGGCGATTTCCTGCTCCTTGGCGATGAGGAAGACTGCAAGTCCATCTTCGCGGAGAGCTTCCTCGACGCCCGGAAGACTGAAGGCATCCATGGTAGCGCGAGCGTATGCCTTCAAGCAGACACGGAAGACATCGAGGTCCTTGGCTTTGGCCGCGTCGATGAGGGCGATCCAGGCAGCCTCATCATCCATCTCGGGGACGCCAGACCAGTTGACAATGCGACGGGACTTGCAGTCGACAGCACGATGACCTTGTTGATCGCAAAGCTTGCAGGTGCCCTCGAAAGGGCGCTCAACGCGCTCGTTGGTACAATCCGCCTTGTTGTGACCGACTTGGCCGCAGTTGAAGCACTCGCCAGTGAGGCCGCCTCCGCCGCCCTCAGGCTTATCGGGGCAGTCGCGAGCGAAGTGACCGGTCTGCTTGCAGCTACAGAACATGTCAGTATCGTCACAGTAGCCAGGCTGTATGGTCGGATCGTGTTTTGCTTACATTCGGCAGCCGTCATCGCCAGCATCACCTCCACCACCGCCAGCGTCACCAGCACCCCAAGAATCTCCAGCACCAGCGTCGGCGCCAGAATCTCCACCAGGTGCAGGGTCCCATGATGAGTCACCGCCTGTTGTCATGTTAGTACAGGCTGAGGGAAGTCGTGGTGTCACAAACCTGCAGTCGCACCAGTGTCGTCCCAGCTCATAGCTGCGGTTGTCGGCGAAGCAAAGGTTGACGTCGAATTGAGCAGATGAATGCGAGTGTGAGCGGAGATAGAGAGAACTTGAAAGAGGGGAGATGGAGTGTCGGGGTTGAAAAATTGTTGTTGTGGGCGCAACTGCTCTGTTGATATACGCGGCAGGCCCGTGCTGAAACTCAGCGATGACGACACAGGTGAAGGTGAAGCAGAAAGGGAAGATGAGTGTCGGCAAGAGGAAAGACAGGTGTACCGCACACGGGAAGTCTCACTACATGCCAATGCAGTAAGAGAAGGTGAAGTGAGTACTTGGGTTTGAAGAGAAAGTAACGTGACGAAGGCCGCTTTGGGACGACAGTGAGAGATCCACCTACCGAAAAGAGTAGGAGCAACGATGAAATCATGAACACGACGAGTATGGATGATAAGGTAAAGACATTGAACAGGCATTTGGCTCATGAAATACGTAAACGCTCATCCTGCACGCCAAGATCGCGTGCTTTCCCAGAAGCTGGTATCGTGTCATGAACCTCACAATGAAGAGGCCGAATGCCTTCACGGCAACATGCTCAACCCAACCCAGTACCTGAACTCCAAATGATGACGTCAAACTTAGAATAATGACTGATCATACACCGCGGAACTAAGATGTTGTTAGTATATCTTGGATAACGGTAACTGAATGTCTCATAGGTGTCACTTACCATTCGCACAACCAAGAACCACATAGCTCCAATGAATCTGAAAGCAGCCAAACCGGCAACACTGTACAGTACTACCGCCAAATAGATGGTGGCAGCGTCGTTCTGCTTCTTCTGAGCCTCGTCGGGACTACTGACTGTGAGCTCCAGGCCACCCGACTGCAGAACCAAGGCGGATAGACCCAAGTTGCAGAACATCCAGAAGAGCACGACACCGGATCGGAAACCCTTGTAGTAGTCTTCTTGCTTCTCGCTGGCTGACGGCACCTTCTTCTCTTCCTTCCACTTTGCGCTGAAGACGCGGAGTTCAGTCTCGTATTGGGTGTTGAGATCGGCATCGTCAGTTGGTGCCTGAATATCCGCTTTACCATCAGCCTTGGTGGTGACTGAAGGAAGCTTCTCCGGCTTGTCGTCTCCTTTGGTACCCCAAGTGATGTCGTGAGTATTGCAGAAGGCGTAGACGTTGAGAATGTTGATGTAGGTGGGTGTCATAAGCAGGTACTGGAAGAAAGAGGTGAACATGTGCCATGGGTCCAAGAAGATGATGGAGACCACTAGCCACATGACGTACGTCGACAGCAGTGATATGATCAATGTAGCAAAGATCTTATCCTTGAAAAGATCTGCCGCGTTGAAGCCGCCGTTGGTTTCGATCTGTCCTTGTACGGAGCGAACGGTGATGAAGATGGACGCGAACATGAGATATGCCATGATGATGCACCAAAAGTAGACCATGGACATGTACCACTTGTTGGATCCTTGGGGCCGATTACCGAGTGATAAAATGAAACACGTTATCAAAACAGCAATGTAGAGCCACTCGAAGACGATAAAGAGAACTTTACCCGCGGTACCGAGTTCGTTTTGTAAAGAAGCAGTGAGGATGCGGAAGACCAAGAAGAAGTTACCGAGGGCGAACCAAGCGAAGATCATGCTGATGGTTTGGTAGACAAACTCAACGAGGAACATGGTTTTGCGCAAGAAAGAGTGATCACTGCGGAAGATGTCGAAAGAGTGGGCCAGGGCGTAGACAGCAGCGAAGAAGGATCCGTTCAACCAACGACGACGTTGACTGATGAATTCGGCCATGGTAGTCGGTACATCCGTCTCTCCGGTAGCAGACTTGACGTACTGCAGGATCCAATGGCAGTTCCTCTTGGAGACCAACTCGA